GGCGCAAGCCTGGAAAATAACGGCCACGGCGCCCTCTCGAGAGCCGAAAACGGACAATTCACTAATCGACGTGTCACTGTTGGGGGTTCTGTCCATCCCCGACCCAGGAGGGCGCCAGCGATGCCCACGCCGCCAGCTGTTGACAACCACCCGTGCGACGTTGCTCCGCTGTCTTCGCCTTCTGGGAGGCCCTCGACGGGCTCCTGGGACTGAGTCGGGCCTGTCCCCCTACAGGCGGGCTCAACATATGGTCAAAGAATGCTCCCAAATTGCTCAGGAACGGCCAAATACACCGTCCCAATACTGTTGTTTACTATTCTTGAAGATTCCTCCTGTAATGCTCCAAAAATGCTCCAGAAATAGCCAAACATACTCCCAAGAATGGCCAACAATGCTCCAAAAATGCGCGAACATACCCCAAAATCGTCCCAATACAAGTGTTTACTATTCCTGAGGATTCCTCCTGTAGAGGGACAGGCCCGACTTCATCCTGGGATGCAACGCGCCGGCCCTCGGGGCGAGGGCTCGGGAGCCACGGGGACCTATGGGAGGACGCCAGCAAGGCAAAACAGTGCGACGGCTCCTCCGCCGCCTGGGGGCCGCGGGGGCCCCGGGGGACTCGGGAGGACTTCCTGGACTGGGGCACCCGCCTTGGAGAATGGCCCAACACTTCGGGGGCGGCAAAGAGGGGGAGGTCCAAGAGGGGGGGGTGCAAATCATGGCCAGCGGCACGTGCGCGGCCCAGCGGGGGGGCCAGGGACGTAATGAAACAAGAAGGGGCGCCATGAAATCTGGGAAAATATCATGGCCCTCACCATGATATCCACCCCCCCTAGTCATCACGCCCCTCTTTTCCGCCCCCGAACGCTCTGGGACTGCGCTTTGGAACAAAAAACAAGCAAACAAACGAACGATGAGACTGCTCTTCGCCGCCCCGGGGCCGCGGGCCCCGGCGCACTCGGGAGGACTTCCTGGAACGGGGCACCCGCCTTGGAGAATGGCCCAACACTCTGGGACTGCGCTTTGGAAAAAAAACAAACTTGTTGGTCTGCGGGTCGAGAGCGAGCCTCTTCCGGTTAAAAGCTAGGTGGGCTACGCAAAGCTCGAATTGGCGAAAAAAGAAGGAAACAAACAAACAAACAAAAAAACTGCAAAACAACAAAAAGAGATTACCAGATCTTGTGGTTCGACAGCGCCGATCCTGGCCAAGCCCATCCTGGGCCCTGGGCCGAGGACGGGTTGTCTGTGTGCGTGTGTGAGGGCGCTGCTGGTGCCCTTACAGCCGACAGGACACATCGCGCGCCGGGCGCGCACTCACCGGTCATTTTGGCCGCATGTCGTCGCATCCTGCCACCGCGCTCTGATCTGCTTGGTGTGCTCGCTTCGTTGCGCTTGCATGACCGCTATAGCATCTTCCACGTGCATGCGCGTTTCGAGTTGTTCTGCATGCGGCTGCCACCATCCGATCCACCCAACTGCTACGCCAGGTGGAGCTTCGGCTGAGCGTGACTGGGCTCAGCGCATCGCGACGGTGTAGCCGCCTCGCCGCTGGAGGAGACAGTGTGCGTGTCTACGGCAACCCTTGGGCCCAAGATTGGCCCAACGTTTGCCTGCGCCCCCCAATGCGTGGCCAGGATGGCGTCTGCACCAGGCCGTGGCCCGTGGTTGGCCTGGCCACCGTCTCGGCGTTGGGTTTGTGGCTGGCGGCCCCCGACCGAAGGCCGCCAGAAGTGATCCTGGCCCGAGGAGGCCCCCGCCTTTTCTGGCGCCAGTTTGGAGCCGTGGGCGTCCCTGGCGGCACCCAAATTCGAAAATCGGCCGAAGCGGCGTAGAACCCGAAATCGACCAGAAGCAGTGGACCGAAGGCAACCTAGAAAGGCACAGCGGCGCAACAACGACACGGAAACCGACCGAACCGAACCGACCGAAAGCGGCCGACTGCGGTTCGCCGAACCGACCGCCCCGCGGACACTCATGGAACCCCCTGGGAGCCCTCTGTTCCCGCGAGGGGCGATCTGGAGGCCATCTGGGCGACGAAGGGAAGGGGCCTTACGCACGAAGACATGCAATAGCCTTTGGTGCACATTCGTCGCCGATCTTCGAAAACTCTAATAACTGGTATGGCCCCAAACTTCCGCTACAGTCGGGGCGTTGACCCAAGGAACCCTACATGAGGAACGGGGCCCCTTCCTCCGATAAGTTGAGCTTCGATTTCCCATGGAAAACCTGAGGAAAACAGAAGGCAAACTGCAGAACAATCAAGGAACACCGAGCCCCTCCCCAGCGAAAAGGGTTCCTTCTTCAGGGCCCCGACTGTAATCCCTGGGGCCCCTGGGGGGATCAGGATTTCCCGTGGGGCACCTGCCGGCAGGCCGATTTTTCCTCCTTTGATGTGCCCACTGCAGCTTGGAGGCGCACACGAGGGGGTAGCGCCCCTGACCTTCCAGAGAGTTATTTTTTAGCACTGGAATTTAAAAAACCTAAAAAGCTGAGCGACACAGTCTGAAATCAAGACGTAGAATAGCTTTGGGACAGGTTTCTAAGTCGGGTGCTGTTCTTTAGCCCTCCTGGAAGGTCAGGGGCGATGGGGGGCTTCTGAGGAGGCAGCCGGGGCCTTCTGAGAAGCCATGGGCCTTCTCAGAAGGACCCAGAAGCTTCGCAGAAGTTGTCCCCCAACAAGTCTTCCCAGAGGCCCCCGGGCGCCGCGGAGAGGGCCCCATGCCCCCCGAGAAGCCGCCCCGCCTGCTCAGAAAATGCCCCGTGTGCGCGCCTCCACGTGGCCGCCCTCTGCAGCGGCTTTTGCGCAAACCGCCGACGCGGCACACCGCGCGCAAGCGACAACGCTGCTGCGCGACCCTGTGCTTAGGTCGGGCATGTCCACCTGCAGGCGGCTTTTGGAGGACAGATGAAAAAAAAAGGTACCCCAGAGCACCTACTTACAACAAGAGTCCTTGACTGGTCCTGGACTGGCTTGGAGGGTCCTCCCGTAGAGGGAGATGCCTCCGACGTGAGCTTTCTTGAGGTTTCCCCCCACACGGCGCGAGGATTTGGACGCCCGAGATGGGAACGGAAAAAATTGGCACAATGCCCAACAACGAACGTTGTCCAAAAACGACAACGGCCGCTGTTGGGCGGGCGGCTGTCTGCCTCAAAGGAACAGAGTCCGCGACGGCGCGGACAGCGAGTCCTGTTCCAAATGAGCAGGAACTGCTGCTGGGCATCGCACCCATCCTTTCCGTAATTATACCCTGGATTCCATAACAAAGGGGGGGGAGGTTCACCTTCGGGGGGGGTCTGATTTGAGCTGTCTTGGAGGGTTCGGGGGGGTCTAGGCAAAGGGCCGCCCTCTGATGGATCGTCTGGGGGGCCCAAAACGTCTCGTCTGGGAGGGCTGTGACCCCCTCCCTTGTATTTCGAAATCTGAAGTACTCACTTCGACCGCCCCAAGAGGAAAGTCCAGGATCACGCAGGCGCACGCCGCCAGGCGCCCGGCGCCCAGCGCGGCCGCGCCGTCCCCGTGCTCGTCCGCGGCAGCGCGCGCTGGCGGCGCGGCCACCTGCGGGCCGAGGCCCGACGCGGGAGCGCGGGCGCTCGGCGGCACGCCCCGGGGGGGGGGGCAGCGAGGCTCGAGGCTCTCGAGGTGTTCGGGCTGCTCGAGGCTCCCAAGGCTCGACGCTCTCGAGGTGGTCGGGCTGCTCGCGGCTCCCAAGGCTCGACGCTCTCGAGGCGTTCGGGCTGCTGGAGGCTTCCAAGGCCCGAGGCGCTCGAGGTCTTCGGGCTGAGCTCGGGGCTTCCCAAGGCTTTCTGAGCATCGAGAAGGATGCGACCTGGGAGAGCTCGAGTTGATGGGAGGCCTGGAAATGGGCACCAACACCAAGACAGAGGGCTGCCTCCACAGGGGGGAGGTGACCCTAGATTTCGGTGTTGGTGGTGATATCTCGGCCACCTTGGAAGCCAGAATACTACCACCATCACCGAGATCGGGATCCTCTTCCCTCGGTGGAGAGGAACACCGCCGATCTTGGTGTTGGTGTTAACCTCTAGGCCTGCGAGTTGAACCCTGCCCTGACAGCTGGGGGCCCCGACCTTGGGCGCCCGAGTTATCCGGGGTAACTCGGGTCCGGGGTAACTCGGGCTTGGATTCCCGAGAAAGGAACCCGAGTTAGCCCTGACCCGAGTTACCCCTGAAGATTCGGGGCTCTGGACGCCCGAGTTATCCGGGGTAACTCGGGTCCGGGGTAACTCGGGTTCGGATTCCCGAAAAACGAACCCGAGTTATCCCTGACCCGAGTTACCCCTGATGATTCGGGGCTCTGACGACCTGCGCCGCAGCGAGCACACCGGCGCCGCCCGGGGGGCCCCACCGGTGCACCTCAAAGAGCAGCTCCGGCTCGCACAGCACCAGCAGGCCCGGCCGCCGCGACGCGAGCGCCAGCACGGGGCACGGCGAGCACCCGCCGCGGCCTCCGAGGGCTCTCGCGGCATGCGGCGGCGCCGGCGTCGACGGGGGAAAAACAAAACAACAACAACAACAACAAAAAAAAACACGTGGGGGGGGGGAAACACACAAGAAAACACACGGGGGGGAACAACACAACACACGTGTGTGTGTGTGTGTGTGTGTCTGTGTGTCTGTGTGTGTGTGTCTGTGTGTGTGTGTGTGTGTGTGTGTCTGTGTGTGTGTGTCTGTGTGTGTGTGTGTGTCTGTGTGTGTGTGTGTGTGTTTGTTTTTTTTTGTGTGTGTGTGTGTGTGTTTTTGTTCCCCGCGGCGGCGGCGGCTCGGAGAACCAGCGCTGTGAAGCAACTGCAGCATCGCGAGAGACCACGACCGCAGCTGTGGACCCCAGCTGTCCGCTGCCTCCCAGAGAGCCGGCTCGATCCCTCGTGGCCCTGAGGCCCGAAGACGGAGCCAGGGCAGGGACAGCGGCTTGGCGGTTCTGGAAGAGCTATCGAAGGATTGCAAAAAAACCCGAAGGATTGCAAAAAAACCTTTTTTTGCAATCCTTCGATAGCTCTTCCTTTGAACGAAGGATTGCAAAAAAAAAACCCTTTTTGCAATCCTTTTTTTGCAATCCTTCGGGCATGGCTCGGACGTCCATTCCCCGTGTTTTTTTGGTCCGGTTTCGTGCGTGCTTTCTTTCGCCAAATGGTCAAGGATGCTCCTCGATGGTCCTCGCCGGAGGAAAAATGCACGCGTCCGAGCGATGCCGAGTATCGGGCGCCGCGGCCGCCCCAGCGCGCTCCAGAACGCTCTGAGACTGTCCCAGAACGCCTGCAAGGATCTGTGCCTCTCGTGGCCACGCCCGACGGGCGACAACGCAACATGTGAAACAACTGCGATTCACGCTGGAATCAGGACTCTGGGGCGAACCCGTCCCGGAACACCCCATCCAGGTTTGGGATCCAGGGCTGAACCTAAACGGTGTTTTTCGTTTTCGTTTTGTTTCGTTTTCCCTCGCGTTTCTTTTGTTTCGAATCCGCCGTTACCGCAAAACGAAGTCGAAACGAAAACGGCCCACGAAATCACCAAAAACACCGTTTAGGTCCAGTCCTGTTTGGATCCTCGAGGGAGGGTCCTGCGTTCGCGAGGGGGGCACAAGGGCTTCTCTTGGAAAGCACTCCCAGAAGGCGAGCGTGAGTGGAAAACCGTCAGGCGAACCCCTCTGGGCCCCTCCTGGACAAACGGGCCTTTCAACCTTCAAACAACCCCATCCGGGAGGATTTGTTTGGGTCCTCGATGGGGGGTTCTTAGAAGAAAAACTCCAGGAGGTGCTTTTGGGATCCTGGAAAGGAGGGTCGTCCAACAAAAAAACACTGAAGAGGATTTGTTTTGATCCTGGATGGGGGGGGTCATTCAAAAACCTCCAGGAAGGGCTGCTTGACTCCTGCAAGGGGGTCTCGTTCAACAAACACCCTCCAGGAAGGGTTTTGTTGAATCCTAGAGTCGGGGCTCGTTCAACAAGAACACCTCCAGGAGCGTTGTTTTGATCCTGGAGGGGTGGCTCTTTCAAAGAGCCATCCCGACCCCTGATTCCTCCTCAGTAATAACTTACCGTCGCTCGGACGTCCATTTCTTGTGCATTTGTTGGTTTCGTGCGTGCTTTTGGTCGACGGTCCCGGGTGGTCCTCGATGGTTCTCGCCGAGAAGAACATGCACACGTCCGAGCGATGCCGAAAGAAGGGCTCCCGTCCCCCGACCGACCCCCCCCAAAGAGCCCCTCCAACCATTCCTGACCTCCCTCCAGAGCTCCCGCCCCCCGACTCCCCCCCCCCTCCCTCCTGACCCCGCATGACCCGCCCCGACTCTCCCTCAGAAGGGCCTCCGCCCCCCCCCCCCCGAACACTCCCCGATTCCCCCGACCCTCCCTGGGGATCCCCCCTGACTTCTCCTGACCCCCCCTGACCCCTCCTCAGAAGAGCTTTACCTCCGACCCCCCTCTCCGGGAACCTTCCTAACCCTTCGCGGCCCCTCCTGATCCGAAGGGTTCCCGTCACCCGCCCCTCCCCCGGGAACCCTCCTGACCCCTCCTGACCCATCTTGACCCCCGCCCCCGACCCCTCCCTCCGGGAACCTTCCTGACCCCTCCTGGCCCCCCCGACCGCTCTTCAGAAGGGCTCCCGCCCCCGACCCTCCTCCGGGAACCTCTCTCCTGACCCCTCCTGACCTTCCCTGACCCGTCCTGACCCCTTCTCGCGGAAGGGTTTCCACCTCCCGACCCTCCCCCGGGACCCCCCCCCTGACCCCCCCTGACCCTTCCTCATAAGGGTCCGCCCCCCGATCCTTCTGCCGGGGATTGAACTCGTCGATCGCGTCGGGGGGGCCGGGCGAGGTCCGGGGGGTCAGTAGGGTTCCCGGGGGAGGGTCGGGGGCGGGAACCCTTCGGAGGAGGGGTCAGGAGGGGTCTCGAGGACTCTTTGAACGAACCCCCCCAAGATCCAGAAAAACCCCTCCAGGAGAGTTTTTGTTTGAGCGGACCTCCCTCCAGGATCCAAAACCCGTCCTGGAAGCTGTTGTTGTTTTGTTGAACACAACCGCCGCAGGATCCCAAATACTTCTCCTGGAAGTTTTTGTTTGAAAGGAGCCCCGGATCAAATAAAAACCACCCGAAGCCCCCCTCCTGGATCCCCAACAAAAACCCTCCTGGGTTCTTTTGTTGAGCGAACCCTGACTCCAGGACTCAACAAAACCCTGCCCAGAGTTTTAGTTTCAGGACGGGTCCGTTGCACTGCCACACCCAACTGCGACGCCCAGATCGCAAGTTGCGGCGACGACGGCGGCCCTCGGTGCCCTCCTGCGGCGACGGCGCGGGCGGACGGCGACGGCGGCGACGTCGGCGGCGGTGGCGGCGAAGGCCTCGGCGACAGCGGCGGCGGCGACGACGGCATCGAGGGGCGGCTGCTGGGCGGCGCCGGCGCCTTCGAGGCTCTCGCCGCAGGGGGAGTGCGGGCAGAGCTGCCAGAGGCCTCGGGGGCAGTGGGCACACGCGAGAAACAAGTCGCGCTGGAAGAAATGCTAGCCAGCGCGGGCCCCAAACAACGACGTCTTGCAACCTACGCGGTGCAATTCACCCTGTCGAACTGGAAATTGTCGACTCCACTGCTCGCGCAGTCATCCCACCCACCCACTGACAACCTGGTTTGCAAACCCATGCGGCGGCGATTGCGATGAATGCTTGGTGTTGGCTGGTGCATCTCTGCGGCCGCCCTAGCCCGCGCATGCTCGCGCGCGCAGCGGCCAAGTAGTTTGGCGCGACCGACGCCAGGGCGGTATCATGGCAACATCGACAACGGTAGACACGATGATGATAGCAGTGATGCTGGTGGCGATGTTGCCAAAGACAACGGCACGGCCAGTGACGGCGCCGATGCTGATCACGCCGACGACGATGACGGCGTCCTCGCGTCGATGATCAAGGTTTTGGAAGGAGTTCGACATGCGCGCGCGACCGACGCGCGAAAGTGGCCCGCATGATATCATTTTACACTGATCGCCCCCCTCCCCCCCCCCTCCCAGCACGCGCGCAAGGGCGTTCGAATGATTCGGGCATGCGGCGCGAAAGGCCCGTTTGGCAGAATGTCATGGAGATGTAGAAAAATCCGATGGCTTCCTGAAAATTCGAAAGAGTGTGAGCGCGGGCTTTGTTTAAAATGAGGTTGCGAAACCATGTGTTTATATGGTTTCGCGACACTCGGTTCTGACACCCTTACGACACCCAAGGTTTTTGACGGGATTCGGCATGCGCGCGCGACGACGCGCGCACGTGCACTTCGTCTCAGCTCTTGCAGAGGATTCTTGCGACAGCACGCGCGCGCAAGGGCCCTCGAACGATTTCGACATGCGCGCGGGCGAAGCCCCGTTTGGTAGCATGTTGTGAAACATTTTAGAAACGCATCGTCTGTTTCAAGAATTCGCAAGAGCGCGCGCACGCTTTTTTTGAAATTCCGTATTGCAGAACCACGTGTGTCCGATTTTCGACACTCGATTTGGACACTCGATTTGAAATCCTTACGCAACCAAAAGTGTTCGAAGGATTTCGGCATGCGCGCGACGACGCGCGCGTGTGCACTTCGTCCCATCTGTTGCGCCAAATTCTTGAAGACTGATGGTTTGTAATAAACGGGCGCACGCATAGTACGTGCTAGCTGTTGCAAAAGATGGCGGGGGGGGGGTGATACCGGCTCGGCTGGGATGATACGAGCTCATAGTTAGGATAAACGGTTGGGGCATAATCATATGCAACTTGCGAAGCGACAAGTTGGGGCATAACCGTATGCGGTTGGGGCAAAACCATATGCAACTTGCATATGCAGGATAAGCGGTTGGGCAAAACTATCTGCAACTTGCAGTGCGAAAAGTTGTGCGGAGAACCCCGGGGCGGGCAGAGGCGATTCTCTGCAAGTCAAGGGGAGTTCAGGTGGTGCAACCAAGGTGGTGTAATCGAAGTGGCGCAGGCTTGCTGCTCCCTGCTCCAGCTCTAGTTTCAAGTCGCCCATGTTATAGTAATACGTCCTACTTCCTGCTGTAAAGCGCAACTGCCCGCGCGAGGGGGGGGGGGAGCGGAAGCTAATGTACCACGGCCCGTCCTGATCTCTTTCGAGATGCCCCCAAATGGCCCCCGAGGCCCCCTTAGGGTGCCCCAAGAGGGCCCCAAGAGGTGCCCAGGAGGCTCCCAAGAGGCTCCAGAGAGATCCACGGGACGCCCCAAGGGGGCACCCGACGAGGCCTCGGCGGGGAGGCCAACTTCGCTGGCCATACTAAGGTTTTGGCCACAGCCTGGCCTCCTGGGGGGGGAGGGGGGGCGAATTGAGCAGCCTCCTTCTTTGATCGACCTCTGTCAAGATGGCCCCAAGAGGGCCCCCGAGGCACCCAAGGTGCCCCCAAGAGGTCCCCAAGAGGCCACCACGAAGACACCCAAGGCGCCTCAAGAGGCTTCGGCGAAAAGACAAACATCACTGATGTTACTCGGATTCCGCCACAATGTTGCCTATTGGAGGGGGGGACCTCATGTACTACGGCCCCTCCTTGTGATCGATCTCCTCCAAGATGGCCCCCAAGACGGCCCCCGAGGCTCCCAAAGGGTGCCCCACGAAGGCCCCAAGAGGTGCCCCGAGAGGTGCCCAAGAGGCCCCCCAAGAGACCCCCCAGAGGCCCCAAGAAGCCACCCAAATGCACCCTCGACGCCTCAAGAGGCCTCGGCGAAAAGACCATCACTCTGATGTTACGGATTTGGCCACATGTCGGCCTCTTTGGGGTGGGGGGGGGGCGGTCGGCCTCTTTGGGGTGTGGGGGGGGGGCGCGGCTAATGTACCACGGCCCATCCTTCGATCGATCTCCTCCAAGATGGCCCCCGAGGCTCCCAAAGGGTGTCCCAAGACGGCCCCGAGTGGTGCCCCGAGAGGTGCCCAAGAAGCCCCCAAGAGGCTGCCAAGAAACCTCCAAGAGCCCCCCCCCCCAGGGGCAATCAAGACGCCCCCCGAAGGCCCCCTGGACTGCTAAGCGACCCCCAGAACACCCAAAGGGAACTCCACGAAGCTCCCAGAAGAAACCCGAAGAGACTCGCAAAGGCACCCCAAGGGCTTCTGGCCGTAAAACGGATGAGTTCCCAGGATGTTCGCCTGGTGTTCGGTTGGTGGTCGCCCGTGGGTGCCCCGCGCCTGGACGGGTTTCCCGAGGTTTCGCCTGGTGCCCGCCATTGCATGGCATAGCTTGCAACGCATAGCTCACGCCACATAGCTTGCACAGCATAACTTACACCGCACAGCTTGCACAACATAGCTTCAGCCACATAGTTCACACCACATACCTTGTACAGCATAGCCCACGCAGTATAGCTCACCCCACATCACCAGTGCTTGCACAACCGAATTACCTTACGCTTGCAAGCAAATATCACACCATAAAGCTCACAGCACATTGCTTAGACAGCATAGCGTACATCACATAGTTTGCACACCGCAGCTTGCACCACATAGCTCACACCGCTGACACACCATAGCTCACACGTAGTTTACACAACATACATTGCACCTCCACAATGCAACAACTCACTAATTGGGGTCCAAGCTGACTAACACTGGTTTCCGACGCTGCAAATGTTCATCACTCGAATGTCGGCGAGGTCGGTCAGTGTCGAACCGGGAACCCGGATCGAATCGAAACGCGCGTCGGGTCGGACCGCATCGGCATGGAATCGGAATCCAATCGGATCGGCTGCGCTGGGACGTGCAGCAACGCCATGCAGGCATCGGGCCGCACTGTCGACGTCCTCATGGACTCCTCCAACAGAGCCAAGACCGAGTACGCCTCGGTCTCCACCTGACCTTAATTTTGAGGGTGCAGGACATGGCCTTCTTTGGCCTAGTCATCCTGTCCCACGTGCAGGGGAAGCAGCGGCCGCATCGGATCACTAGAACAGAATCGCCGCACTGTCGACGTCTTCATGGACTCCTCCAACAGAGCCAAGACCGAGTACACCTCGGTCTTCACCTGACCTTAATTTTGAGGGTGCAGGACATGGACTTCTTTGGCCTAGTCATCCTGTCTCACGTGCAGGGGAAGCACCGGCCGCATCGGATCACTAGAACACAATCATCCGAAGCAGAGGCAGCGGCAGACTGGCATCGTTATCGAACCGAATCGACCAGATCGAAATTGACCCTGCGAGGTGACCCCGAGATGGCCCAAGAAGGCCCTCTAAGGGCCCCCTCGGTGCCGAGTGACCGCCAGCCTCTCAACTTTACCCCTAGTGATTTCCGGGCAGCCAAAGCTGAATACTGCCAAGCAATAAAACAGTCGTGTGTTTTTCAAGACGCGAGGGTGTGTATGTGGGTGTCTCGTTTACCTCTCGCTCTCTCTCTCTCTCTCGTTTTCGGTGTCCCTCTCTCTCTCTCTCTCTTTTTCTCTCGCATCGCCTTGCTTTCTGCCCCAGTGGCGCCTACGCGCATCGTCTCGGTACAGAATGCGCCGCGGCGTGGCCAATTAGCTCCCAAAACATCACCCCCTTGTTTATGCCGCGAGCTGATCTCTTCAGCGCGTCGGAAGAAAGCATGTGCGTATACTCTCGCTGCAGTAACGTCACTCGGTCGCTTGTGTGTGTGTGCGTGTGCGTGTTTATCTGTGTGAACGTACATGTGTGTGGAGTTGTGTGTGTGTTTGCGCGCGCGCGTGTGTGTGTGTGTGTGTGTGTGTGTGTGTGTGTGTGTGTCTGCGTCTGCGTCTGCGTCTGCGTCTGCGTCTGCGTCTGCGTCTGCGTCTGCGTCTGCGTCTGCGTCTGCGTCTGCGTCTGCGTCTGCGTCTGCGTGTGCGTGTGCGTGTGCGTGTGCGTGTGCGTGTGCGTGTGCGTGTGCGTGTGCGTGTGCGTGTGCGTGTGCGTGTGCGTGTGCGTGTGCGTGTGCGTGTGCGTGTGCGTGTGCGTGTGCGTGTGCGTGTGCGTGTGCGTGTGCGTGTGCGTGTGCGTGTGCGTGTGCGTGTGCGTGTGCGTGTGCGTGTGCGTGTGCGTGTGCGTGTGCGTGTGCGTGTGCGTGTGCGTGTGCGTGTGCGTGTGCGTGTGCGTGTGCGTGTGCGTGTGCGTGTGCGTGTGCGTGTGCGTGTGCGTGTGCGTGTGCGTGTGTGTGTGTGTGTGTGTGTGTGTGTGTGTGTGTGTGTGCGTGCGTGTGTTTGTGTGTGTGTGTGTTTGATGCCGTCGGTTGCGCGCTGGGCTTGAACTATGGTAGATCTGGCTTAATTGTTCTGCACGGCGCTGTTCCTTCTCCATTATCCTGCAAAGCCCGTCTCTGCGGCCCCACTTTTCAGCCCTCTTGCACTCTCGAGCGCGGCCCTAAGGCAGGACTGTAGTTGAAATGCTCGCTGCCCGTACATGTATTGCTGATCGGGACTGTGGTGCCACATTCGGCGGCAGAGGCTGCGGCAGAGGAACCATAACACAAGAAAACACTGAGAGCTGTTGTTGGCACCCCTGGAGTCCGAAGTGCACCAGCTCCACGTCACCCTCCGCGCCGTCCTTCAGAGAAGGGCCAATAGCAGAGACCGACCGTCCTGGCATTCCTTTAGGTTTGCAACGGGATGATCGTAGAACTGAGAAATGGTCTTTGCCCAAGGCGATGCCATATAATATAAAACCATCAACCGATTGAGAAACACACAACTTTCTAAACCAGAAGAGTTCAAAGAACATTTCGTCCACACCACAAACAGTTCTCCGGACATTCTTGGGCTGGCCTGCGAGCAGGTTCGCCACTGCTTTACACCAATTGAACCAACACCGACCTTTCAACCCGACCCACTTTCCCTTTCAATCTGGTCCTCGGATCCCTCCCAAGGTCTCGCCATCGCTCGGACGTCCATTCCCTGTGCATTTTTCGGTTTCGCGCGTGGCTTTTTCGCCACATGATCAAGGATGCTCCTACATGGTCCTCGCCGAAAGAAAAATGCCCACGTCCGAGCGATGCCGAGAGGCCCATCCTGGCCCGCGACCTTCCCGCCCGACCCAGATCCGCTTTAAATCGGCTACACGCAGGAGTGACCCTGGGTAAGAGTGACCTTTGGTGCGCGGCTTTTTGGGGGCCGCGGGGGGACCAAACCTGGGCGCGCACGCCGCTGCTACTGCCTCGTTTCCAGCCATCTGGGGACCCGTCTGTGCCCGCACCAACAAAGGTCACTCCGGCGAAAGGTCACTCTTACTTGGGCGCCCGAGTTATCCGGGGTAACTCGGGCCCGGGGTAACTCGGGTTCGGAATCCCGAAAAGCGAACCCGAGTTAGCCCTGACCCGAGTTACCCCTGATGATTTGGGGACCTGGACGCCCGAGTTATCCGGGGTAATTCGGGCCCGGGGTAACTCGGGTTCGGAATCCCGAGAAGCGAACCCGAGTTAGCCCTGACCCGAGTTACCCCTGATGATTCGGGGCTCTGACTTACGTCTAGTCGAATCCACCCTGGCCGGCTCTCTCTCTCTCCCCGGGGCTGGCTTTTTTCCTCCCGAGCAATGTTTGCTGACGGTCCCAGGCCCGGGCCGGGGCCCCGAAGAGACCGACGGCGGCGAACGGACATCAGCACGCCTTCTCCTGTGTGAGAAGTGCTGCGGGGGAGGAACCTCGCCATCGCTCGGACGTGCCATTCTCGGCGTCGTGCGAAGATGTCTTGCTCGAGGATCCAGGACGCTCCTCGATGGTCCCCGCCACGAGAAAAAGCTTACGTCCGAGCGATGCCAAGGCGTAGGGGTAGTGGAACGAGCAATGACAGAAACATAACCACTCGGTCGTCCTCGCGGACCCCTGGGATCGGCGCTGGACCCCCCCTCTCCCTGGCGCGCGCGGAGCGCGCCAGGTGCAGCGCCGGAGGCGCCGCCGGGGGGCTCCCGCGCCGATCCGAGAAGTCTGCGCGGACCTCCGAGCTGTGATGGTCATGCCATTCTTTTGGTGTTCCCCGAAGGGGCGAGGGGGCGCTCCCAGATGATGCGATACCGAAAATTTTCGGTAGCGAGAACATACACGATGCAATTTCGGTCGTACCGGAAAGAGCCGGTATTTTCGGTCGCAGACGCACGTTCGCCTCACATAGGAATCGGTCGCGAGATTTCGCTGCGCCAGGCGGGTGAATCTCACGCGCGCGCACGCGCGTTTCCTATGCAAATTTCGGTCGCCAAATTTCGGTCGCGACCGAAACGCAACACGCACGCCGCGACAAACGTTTGACAAACGTTTGTCAAACGTTTGTTCCCCACAGTCTTAGACATGAGGTAATCATGACACTATCCACGGACAAACGTTTGTCAAACGTTTGTCGGGCGGGTTGTGCCATCCGCGCCACCGCCATCATCACGATCACCAGCATCATCGTTCACAGCATCCTCGTCATCATCATCATCATCATCATCAGCATCATCATCATATCATCATCAGAATGTTCAAGGTAACCAGCATTAATACCATCATCATCGCCATCATCATCATCGTCTCCGTCGTCGCCGTCGTCGTTGTCGACACCGTCATCATCATACCACTCATCATCACCATCACCGTCATTACCACAACCATCATAATCATTAACATAATCATCGCAATTCTCAACACCATCATTGTCAACATCAGTATCATCATCACCAACGTCATCATGGACATAATCATCTTCATCACCATCACCTTCATCACCCCAGCATCATCATCAGCGTCACCATCACCAGTTTCATCAATGTCATTTGCATCGTTATCATCATTCGCATTCTTCATCGTAGTCGGCATCGATGCCATCATCAACGTCGTCGCCATCCCCTACCATCGTCGTCAGAATCGCGCTAACCATCATGAGCACCTTGGGGGAAATTCCTCGTCGCCCTCCTACGTCTCGTCTGCCTCGTTGCTCATCCCCTCTTTCTCCTCATTCTCCCCATCCTCTCCCAGACACTGTCGTGAATGGGTACCTCCCGAGGAGTTTGTCTAGCAGATGGTCTGACTTGCCCGCACTCGGCAAAACCTGGTTGTTCCAGCGTTGAGCTTGCCCCCCTCCTATGTGTCCTCTCTCCCCCTCCGATGCTGAAGGCGATTATGGGGGTGGCGACTACGGGGGTGGTGATGCCGATGCCAACTATGATGATTATATTGATGATGGTGACGATGATGATGGTGATGATGAGGTTGACGGTGCCGATGATTAGCATGATGTTGGTGATCACGTTGATGCTGCTGGTTTGGATGGTGAGGGTGGCGGGGTTGATGATGGTGGTTGATTATGCTGCTGATGATGATGCTGATGGAGATGAAGAAGATGACGACGATGATGATGATGATGATGCTGATGATGATGATGATTCTGATGATGATGATGATGATGATGGTGAGGCAACGGCGAGCATGGCGAGAACTCGCCAAACAAACGTTTGACAAACGTTTGGCAAACGTTTGACACGCGTTTGACAAGCGTGTGACAAACGTTTTTGCAAACGTTTGACAAACGTTTGACAAACGTTTGACAAACGTTTGACAACTGTTTCTGCAAACGTTTGACAAACGTTTGACAAACGTTTGACCAAACGTTTGGCACGCGTTTTTTGCAACCGTTTGACAAATGTTTGACAAACGTTTGGCACGCGGTTTGGCAAACATTTGACACATGTTTGGCAACCGTTTGGCACGCGTTTTTGCAAACGCTTGACAAATGTTTGGCAAATGGTTGACAAACGTTTGTCGAACGTTTTGTCTGTATATCGTGTTGGTATAGTTGGGTTCCCCAGATTGTGAAAACAAACGTTTGACCTATAACAACGGGCGAAGGCGATGATTGCGCTGACATGTTTTCCACTCGCATCTGACAGTGCAGGGGCGAACAGTGCGCCTGAATGCGACATCCCGTCGCAACTCGTGGAACCTGTCGGCGAAGAGGGAACAAGGCACGCGATGTAGAACGATGCCGATGCCGATAAGATTGGTGATGACGGGGACGGGGAAAAGGAGGGCGAAGGACGGGCGAACTCCATCGCCGACAAAGGCGAATGGCACGTTGCTTGCAACCTAGTGCGCAGGGCGCACAATCTCGAAATCCGCCTTCCCCTCATGCTAGGAGGGCCAGGATCTCGTAGGCTGTTGACTGGCATAACCTCCTTCGTATTCTTCTCTCTTCATCCTCCGTGCCCATGCTCCCCGTGCCCCCCTACTGTTCGCATGCCTCCCCATCCAGTCTCAAGCAAAGCGCGCGCCCGTCCTCCTCATCACTACTCTCATGCTATAGCTCTTCCTCCTCCGTTTCCATTCTGACCCCGTTTCGTCCCAAACCACGGTCATAGCCAACGCCCCTGTGCGAAACTCACCGCCCACCAAGACCACCCAACCCCCACCCCGAAGGTCACAGTTCGCCACCCAGTTGGGGGAGGGGGTGGGCGTTGGGGCACATTGAAAAACAACCGCATGTGGACCCTGTACCCCCCCCTCCAACCATATTTTTGGGTCTTCGTGTTAGGTTGGGGTTGCCTGGTAGGTCGCCAGGAACTGCCATGATGTCCTTGCGGGCCACGATGGGAAAGCAGATCGCGACAGACAAGGGGGGAGGTAGTGGAATGGGGAGTGGGCAACGACGCCAGACCATTCGAACGGTGCCCTGAAAGCCCCCCCCCCGCAACGGGCCACGAGGGGGCCACAAGGCGCGAGCGGACAGTCGGCGGAGCCAGCGGCATACCTTCCTATGCGCCACCGTTCGCAAAGTTTTCGCGACAGGCCTAGTATCGGGGATCCCATCATCGTTGTAGAAGCGATCTTTGTAATCTGGCGCATAAAATCCTCGCACATGTAGCGCCAGAACCAGCGCGGGTTCATGTGTGATGCGCCCTCAGCGATGTGCCGCCACATGTGGTGTTTGTTCACAATGCTCCATTTCTTCTTGTTCTCTGTTTTAACTGCGTAGGAGGAATGAAAATGATACCAAATCAATGCTGACTCAACTGCTGTTTTTAGATGATCTGCTGTTTCCCTGCTCATGTACATTCCAGAAGAATCCATGTAGTCGTAGTATTTGCACAAATTCTCTACCATCAATGAGCGCATCGCCTTGCGATCGCTGCCATCCTCATATTCGCGGCAGAGCTTGTAAAGAACGGGCGCGAGCCATCTTTGTTCTGCAGCTTTAACGGATTTTTTTCATCACGGGGTAGTCTGCGCGCGGGCTTCTGGTGTCGGCGATGAAGAATGTCAGCCCGAAGTGCGTGATCCTGTGTGGAATCTTGAGTTCATCGTACAATTCGACAATTCGCCGCCATATTATCTCACAGGCTTTCGTGGCGGGCGGGGGGAGCTGCTCATATATGATCTCCTTCAAGACGTTACCTAACATATGGCTCGTGATCCCGAGATCTACACAATGCATACTGTCTAAACTGATGGAGTCGACCGTAACTCCAAAAACTGAAAAAGACGGGATGCGTGAACGGGAAGGGCTCGCGACGTCGGAAGCGCATCCAATGCCTGGGGTAGCTGTCCTGCCGATGATCCTCAAAACGCGCGTTGGCACCAACGTGT